AGGAAGTAGTCGATCGCACCGGCTCGACATTCTCCTCCTTGTGCGTTCTCCTCGCCATACTCCCACGCCGATCAGCACCGCAAACCAGCGGCGCCACTACCGGTATCCACACGTACAGGGACGGAACACCACGCGCAGATGTGCTAGCACCCGCGCGCGGCTAGGGATTTGCTCGGGGAGGGAAGTGACGGCTAGGGTTTCTCACGTGATGCAATGCCTCCGCCGGTCACACCCCTCACGAATATATAGGATCCATCACTCGGGCCTCCAAGGCTCGTAGGACTCTTATTCGGATCCCTATCCGAATTAAGCTCATATTGGATCTCCATCCAATCCCCTTATTCCGGCCCATTAAGCGTGCAACCCTGTAGGTTCATATATACTCGGCTGTAATCCGAAAACTCCTTTTCGGTCCACGCGTCAACAGCGGCTCCTAGCATAACGTATTGACCCACCGGGCATACATAAAGATCATATCGGGTGAACCTCTAGTGTATACTTGTATGAACCCCTTTGCCTCACGATATCGATTAAGATCAAGGCTAGATATGTGCCATCCTCTAATAGCTCAATCATTCACTCGAACCTGTTGATAGATTATGTAACTTGTGATTGACTCCTCAATCACCTTTGGCATGGCCATGCACTTCCATAATCTACAACATCGAGGGGCCCAGAGATATCTCTCCATAGGAGGGGCAAATCCCATCTTGATTATTTATATCCCACTACATGTTTCATAGCATACCCGAAAACTACTTTTATAACTACCCAATTACGGAGTAGCGTTTAGCAGTCCCTAAGTAAGCTACTACACATGTTGGGAACCATGATAATCTCAGGTCTAAGGATTCAACACCAACACTAAATGAGATCACTGATGACACAACACATATGGCTCTTGCAGTGTCTCATGTTGGGTCTATCCAACAACATGTTCACTAACATGTGTCCACATTATTAATTTGGTATCTCTATACCATGATCCATGAGACATGATCATCAATTAATACATGTGCTAATCATCTAAACATATTTGTTCCACATATGATATTTGATCAGGGATCCTTTAGAAATAGCAACACATAACATAAAGAGTCTCATGAAAGAATCACATATTCATTAACCAATAATGAGTTTATCTATTTCAAGAAACAAAGTCAGATAAATATGTAAACATAATGTGTGATACAGTCATCTCTATGATTGCCTCTAGGGCATATCACGAACAGAAAATGCATAAACTATACCATTGCAATGGTACAGTGTTTTATAATTTTTTTTTGTAAAAGAAAATGCACAGAAACATATCAACATTCACCAGGCCGTGGAAGCTACACCAATATAGTTTCAGCTTTATTTCTCTTCCGATTGTAGAATTCAGAATCTTTTTCTGAATTTCTGTCTAATGTATCTCAAATATGCTTAATTATTTAGCTGTTGATCCCTCTCCTCCAATGGATCATGCCAGTTAATTATTGAGTTATCATCTCTTCCAAGATAGATAGCTCTCTAGTCTCTACCATCAACAGCAGAGACGAGACGATGCGATGGATCAGGAAGAAGCAGCGGTGTGGATTGCTCCGCCGTTGCCGCCGGAGCCCTCCGCCGGCGCTCCAGGCCGCGTTGGCTTGGAATCATCGGCGGCGGCAAGGATCGTACTCCGGCCATTGACGGCGCATGGTGCTGCTTCTTCCTCCTCCGATGGCAGCTGCCGGCCGGAGGGAGGGGAGGGAAGAACAAGCAGCATTTCCTCCCGGTGGCGCAGGAGCTGGGCCTGGGCGCCGCCGATCAGGAAGGATGGCGGCGGCGAGGCGGGAGACGACGACATCGCCATTGTTCGATATAATCTCCGGCGATGGAGATCGATCGAGAACTCGTCGGCGTCGACGGCTCGCTAGCTCGTGCTACGTACGTACGCTGATCGTTGAAGCTTGAGAAGGTTTGCATGCATGGATGGATCACCTGAACGACGATGGCTGGCCGGTGAGCTATATATGTAACCATCTCTAATTATAGCCGGCGGCGTCCGGCGTTTCAGCGGCGGCGCGGCGAGCACGGCTCGATCGATCCGCCCCGGCCCGTTTCGATTGCGTTGACGAGAACGAGTCCCGCGCAATTTTGTTTTTCTTTCTCTTCTTCCTTTTTCATCTAGCTAGTTGCAGGAACGCTGTTTTTAATCAAGCTACTCCCTTTGTTTTTGTTTTATATTATTATTAGTAGTTTGATTTTTTTTAATCAAACTTATTTAGGTTTAACCAGATTTATAACAAATATAATAACTTTAATATAAAATAAATATATTATCAAAATATATTTAATATTAAATTTAATGAAACTAATTTGATACGGTAGATATTGCTAGTTTTCTCTATAAGTTTAGTAAAAAAAAACTTTGACTAAGAGAAAAGTCAAACTATTTATAATATAAAATATAAGGAGTATAACTTTTGTAATTGGCAGTTATTTATATGTAAATTAAACTTTGTAATAATTGGCTACAACTTCTCTAAATTCAAGGCAATGTATTATGTTAAACAAAATGTTATGCTAAATGAAGACGAAAATATTATGAGACGGGATCCCGATAGGGTAGAGTAATGCGGATAGGACTACCCTCTATCAAGTTTCAGTCTAGCTAGCGTGAGTTCTTGTGTGGTCGATCGATCATGACGACTAATATTACAGTTTTGGTCTGTTTCACTTGAGATTTAGCCCTTCAATTCATTTGATATTTTGATAATTCATCAATCTTAACTTGGTGCTCAAGTTTATAAGGCGTAAATTAACTACGCCCATCGACAATGCTACCCAGCGAAAATATAAGATGACATGTCATATTTGGTACAACTTTAATCCTAAGAATTAGCTTTCAAAATATCATCTAAATTATAACCCAAGCGAAAACATCCATTTTCGAAATAGTAAAAAATAGCACGCTGATTTGAACTATACTATTGTGTTGTTGTGTTCTATAGTACAAACTTCAACTCCCTCTTTATCCACGTGCACATTTCCCGAACTACTAATGGTGTGTCTTTTTGAAAAAAAAAGTTATAGAAAAATTGTTTTTTTAAAAAAATATTAATCCATTAATTTCAAGTATTTTTAGCTAATATTTAATTAATCATACACTAATAAATCGCTCTGGTAGATGTGCATGCGGTGCCCAACCCTTTCTACCAAACACATCGGCATATATAGGGAGATTCTATTAAGTCATATCTAGCTCATGCAAATTATAGTCTAAAATTTAATCTGAATTCTAAGTTGTAGCTTGTAGATAATAATATACAAGTCAGAAGATAAGAAACCTTTTTTTTTTGTATTCTCACCAACTAGTTTCTCACTGATTGCTTCTCAAAATATGAAAGCTTAAATAGGCCTAAATTTACCTCAAACATGCTACATAATCATGCAAAAAGTCCAATACCATTCAACATGCCCACTGGCCTTGCAAGTGTGTAAGCGTACGTGTTAAGTTGAAGAAAGAAAAAAGAGTAGAGCATTACCCTCAGCTAGCTCGCTAATAGTCGACAACTCAAATAATTAATATATCTTCGACGATCAACATGTCAACTTGACCTAATGTCCTATACATAGTTGCAAGTGTAGACCTGATCTTAATTAGCCAAGTCAACCGAAAAAATACCAATGAAAACATTTACGTTTAAATAAATTAATTAAGTACGGATCACACACTGTCGACTAATTAAGACATGCTTCCACATCAACACGCGCGTGGTTACACACACAAAGCTACAAATACTACCAGCTGCTATACATAGTGTGTGAGCTTTGACAGGCAATTGTTGATTTTATCTTAGGCCCTGTTTGTTTCAGTTTAAAATTATTGTAATCTAGATTATTGAGCCAGATTACTGTAAGCTGAATTATAATAAGCCGACATAGAATAAGCTGTGAGCTATTTGTTTCTCTGGATTATAAACTGTTTGTTAGCTGTTAGCCACCCAATAATAAAAAATAAGCACATTCAGAGTAGATTACTAGATTTTAATAATCTGGCTTATAAATTATAATAATCTATCATAATAAACTATCTGTTTGTTTCAGTTTATTTCTAATAATCCAGATTATAATAATCCTATGCTGACAAACATGTCCTTAGACTCACGACTACTAGTCATCTTATTATTCTCCTAATTAAAACAGGAGTTAGAGATGAGGACATGTTCGACGATCTATGTACACAGCAATACCTCCACTGATATCACGAGACATGATACTAATATTTGTAAGCACAGTTCCATCCAAACCTACATCATATCTTTGAGACACTGATTGTGGACGTTCTTTCTAGATTCAACATAATTATAGCGTATCAGGTTGTCTACGATCATCGATTGGCTAGGCTATCAATCAGTGTGTCATACCTCGCTTATGCTACAGACATACAGTCACCATACGATATGTTAGGTGTGTCTTTCTACTAAGATGAGCCTAAAATAAGACTCCGACTCTATTACTATCCTGATACCTAGATACCTATTACTTTATAACCAACGTATTTATCTTACACGCATGTTCGACGCAACCCCTAATATGTTATTTTTTATGCTAGTTCAAAGCACTGAAAATTGTACACTAAACTCACATGTAAAGGAGGATCATGGCATGGTGTTGCATACATATGTGAGGATTCTCGCCATCGCGCGCCGATGGTATGTAAGGGTGGTAATGGGTTGAACTTTTAGTCTACAAAATATAAGGGCTGGGTTAAAAATGATTGGATTGAAATTTAGTAAATTTTTATTGTAAAAATATTTTAGCGCTGAGATGGATTATTAATGGGCCTATGGGTCCTAAGTCCTAGCCATTACCACCCCTTTGGTACGTAGGTATGCAAATTAATTAACATACAAAAGTGGTAATTATATACAATTGACCGAGGGAGTGACATGTATGTACCTAAGGAGATGAGTGATGCAATCGCGCGATTGAGTTCACGTATAGCTCCGATGCAATTTACTCCACGCGAATCAATTAAAATTTGATCACATACATTTATTCAAACTTTGGTGCATAGGTCCTCACATGCATATGTGTATAATCACTGGTACAGGAAACATTTTTACAGGCAGGTGATAACCTGATAATATATATATATACTTACTACACAACATATTCAATTATTCGAATATATCCGATACAACTAGTTCTGCAAACTACGTACATCTACGACGAAATACTTAGCACAGTTATTAATAACTAGTGATATGCGAATATAATGGTAATATATATATGTGATCAATTGTAGTGTGGGCCACCTCCTGGCTCCGGCTCTCCCCACCCCAGTAGTACACTTGCTTTGGCGCCGCCACCTCTCGCCGCCGGCCTTGTTGCCATCTTCTCGCCGCCGTCGAAGTCGCCATCAGCCGCCGCCACCGTTTGCTGCCGCCGCAATCATTCAGTCAATGAATCGATCAATCACACACGTACATAAGTAACTGAGCTGGATGCTAATTAATACTTCTTTTATTTTAAAATATATGATAACGTTGATTTTCATATATGTTTGAGTTATTTAAAAAATTATAAATATTATTTATTTTATTCTGATTTATTTTATCATTAAAGAAACTACGATATAAACTTATAATTTACATATTTATATTAAATCTTTAACAAAATAAAATGAATGTTATGTAAAAATGTTAATGACATCGATTTTTGAACGGAAATAGTACTCCCTCTATTTTATTATCCCTCTATTTTATTATATTATAAGTCATTTGACTTTAATCAAAATTTTTTTTGTTTGACTTAGTATATTTAAAATATTAGTAGCATCTACAACACCAAATTAAGTTTCACTGAATTTAACATCAAATATATTTTGACAATATATTTATTTTGTATTGAATATATTATTATATTTTTCTACAAATTTGATTAAATTTAAAGAAGATTAACTGAGAAAAAAATCCAAATAACTAATAATAAAAAAAAGAAACGGAGTGAGTAGTACTTAATTCCATGCATCCACAGTAACATTAATTGACTTACAGCAACGCTGTGGTACTCGCGGGATGACGACGACGACGTCCCGGCGGCGGAGTAGTGCTCCTCGGAGGCGAGCTCGCCGACGTCGAGATCAGCTCCGACGGCGTGGCGGTGGTGGTGGTCGGCGGCGGCCTTGTCACCGCCCACGGCAACCCCAGCCGCCGCGTTGTACGACTTGAGGCGGCGGCTGCCGCCGAGGAATGGTGCAGACCAAAGTAGGGGTAGGGCCCGAACCACGCCGGGGAGGCGTCGGCCGGGCGGCGCCGGCGAGCGGCGGAGCGCGTACTGCAGCAGCAGCTGCTGCTGCTTGCCGGCGAGGCGAGCGAGCATGGCGGCCATGGCAGGTAGCTGCTTGATTTTCTCTTGCTCGGTTTGTTTGTGTGAGAGTTTGAGGATTTGGTTGCTGCTGTATTTATAGACAGTTAATTACGCGCATGTTTGACACTGTAAAAGTAATTAGGGTTCATTCGTCTACGTTTTGATCATATATATTACTGTGCTAATATAGTTCACATGGCTCTATGTATGACAGGAGTTGATCAATTCCATCTCTGTGTGTTTAGATGAGAGACAATGAGACCTATTGACTTACGCAGCTACAATCTCAAACTATTTATATTCAAATTTTCAATTGACTACCCCTGTTGCATATTAATATAAGTTTTCATATATTTCAAATACTATACCTCGGTTTAAAGAACTGTTGTTTTAGAAAGTCAAAGACATATATATCAAACAAAAGGTTAAAAGACTACCATTCTCTTCATTAAATTGAAGCAGGGAGAAAATAAGGAGTAGAAGAAAATAAGGAAAAGTGAGTGCTATTGGTTCGGTGGTCAAAACGGGAAAAATAAAATAAAATGGTATTGAAAGATCTAAATGGACTCCAGACTAAAAAAGATAGTTTTTGTGGGATAAATCTTCAAGCTAAAAAGACGGTCTTTTAAGGGCGGTGAGAATATCTAGATTAATTCCTTCTTACACATGCACACATAAAAAAAAACGAATAATCATAGTGACAAGAGCTCACCAAATTAAGTCGTGCTTGGGCTATCTAACACAAGCGAATATATCAAAACCATGATTGCCATTCTCAAAATGAGAAAAAAAGGGAAAGAATAGCACATCGATTTGATACGTAATCAGGCAAAGATTAGTACAATTCAGCAGCGTTGCAAGTGTAAACTCGTCTTAAATAAAAACAAATGGGAGCACACACTCCCTAACTGATATAACACAAAAATATACTCCGACTATATCATGTTCAAGGAGTCAGCTTGACGACGACCTTGCAGAGTTGGAAGGATTTGTAGACGGTACTCCCCCGTTTCTAAATATTTGACACCGTTAACTTTTTAGCACATGTTTGACTGTTCGTTTTATTTAAAAACTTTTATGAAATACGTAAAACTATATGTATACATATAAGTATATTTAACAATGAATCAAATGATAGGAAATGAATTAATAATTACTATTTTTTTTAAAAAAAAGACGAACGGTCAAACATATTTAAAAAGGTCAACGGCGTCAAATATTTAGAAACGGAGGGAGTATATCTCTCCTTTTAAGATGAATGTAGACGGTATCTAACATTTGCTAAGTACGTCAACCAAAAAACAAATGCCCACATATATACATATATATTTTGCTTTCTACTAAGTTGATCAATGTAGTGTACACACTTGCTGACTTGGACAAGTTTTCACATCAACGCGCACACGCATGCGTACAACTGCAGATACTAAGCTAGTGTAGTCAAAACTTTGACCAACTATTGCTGAGTGAATTAGCCATAACGAATAATTTTGTAAATCTAGACATGTGAAGATATATTGTTGTTTGGCATATAAAGTGCAGCATATATACATTTGGTTGATCTTTTACATATAATAAAAAAGTTCTATTAGTAAAGAAAATCTATATTTGTTTATCATCTATTATATTATTAAAACATAATTGAGACGAGGCATCACGTTTACCGTGGAGATTACACAATTCCATATTAATCAGAGAAAACGAAAAATTAGAATTCAATTAGATATATAATTTAATTATAACTGAAATTTAGAATACAAAATAATCAATATTGAAAGACGATGCAGGTAGAACACCAGACGAGATTAATAAAAATTCAAAACAAAAAAAAATAAAGTCTGCAATTAGAAAAATAGAAAATAGAGTTCGTGTAAAAATAACTTAAAAATATTAAATGAGTAGTCACCAAGAACACATTACGATATTAATTAAAATTTGAAATAAAAGTAAAATAAAATTTTAAATCACGAAAAGAAAAATAAGTGTTCATGTAGGAATATAATTTAGAAATAACTAAAAATCAAAATAAAACTAAGGGATATATACAAACAAGAAACCATTTAGAACACGACACAAGATTAATTAAAATTTAAAATAAAAAGAAAATAAATGCTGAAATTAGAAAAGTAAAAAATAGAGTTCATATAAAAATACAGTTTAGAGAAAACTGAAATTCAAAACAAAAATAATAATAGAAAACACAGTCAATGTAGAACACCCATTTAACTATTTAGAGATATCGTTTAACCATTTACCTCCCATATGACAATGTCATGTGGGTCCTCGTGATAACAAGTGGGTCCAGTAACAAATAATTAATTGCCACATCTAAAAGTGGCATATGATTAAATATGTCTAAAAAAATAAATTCTGATTTTTTAAAAAAGAGAAAAAAATAAATGAGAGATCAAATTTTGAGATACAATTTAGAATAAAAAAGTTCAGAAAAAAATACAGATATTAGTAAACAATTCATCTAAAAACATAACTATTGCAAATGATAATAAAGAGGGGATAGCAGGGCAAGCCTTAAAGGAGTAGCAGGGTCGTGGTGGTTGATGGGACATCCAATCTAAATAACTACGATTATATGGTGTGGTCCTTGTGAACTTTTATGAATGGTAAATTTACAATGGTTTGTTTAGGTGATAACGGGATATATGTTGATGTATTGATATTGTGCATGGATGATTTGTTCTCTATTATAGAGCATAAAATATTATACGCATCTATTTGTTTTATGCGGGGACGAGGGATTCACGTGGATTAATTCAACGTGTGAGGATGGGGATGGTAAAAGTTCTATCCCCATCATGATTGGCGGGGACGGGGTCGGTGAAATTTGAACCTCACATGGGTGAGGGTGTGGGGGCAACCTGTCACACCCCAATCTAGCACCGCCGAACAATGGCACACCTGACATGAGCGTGTCGTAGGAAAAAGGGCGCGAACCGCTTCCTACGAAACCGCGATCTCAATATCAGTCCCAGGACATAACACTGGTATCCACGGTGACAAATATGAATCATTGCAATCCTTAAAATAAATAGAGGACTTATTTACCTCAACTTAGATTGCAGCTCAGGACAACCCGAGAATACAACCGACGACACGGACGAGGCAAACACCAACCAAGCAGCAGCAGCAGCAGAACCAACGGTTTAACACCCAACACGCTGGGAACCAGGACGAAACCCTAATCTTCACTTCGCTTCATCTTCAACTTCAGGACGGAGTATATATATGTGTGTGTATATGTATATATATATATATATGTATGAATGTGTGTGTATATATATATATATATGTATATATATATATACATACATATATATATATACATACATATATATACATATATATGTATATATATGTATGTATATATATATGTATATGTATACGGTGGACTAAAGCTATGTTAAAAATATATTTGTGACAAAAAAACACTTATGTATTTATATATGTATAAATACATATAATTACAAAAAAATAGAATTATGCATATATTGTATAAATAAATAAATATATTTGTGACACAAACAGTTCTTCTATATGTTTTTTGAATGCAAATAAATGGGGTAAACAGTAAACTGAATAGTGTTTTTGAATAGTAATCAACCGAATAAACAGTAAACTGAATATATATATTTATATATATATATATATATCAATACTGTTCAATACTATAAATTGATAGAGAAATACTTGCAATAATCAATGCGATAAATGCCTTTAGGTTATATTTAGGGTTCAAAGAATTTACGGTTAGAACAGATTGCGAAGCTATATGTAGATATTATAATCAGCTTAATAGCAAGAAAAGTTCCCCCAAACTCGACAACTTAGAAGTACCCAATCTTGAGCCTGAAGAAAGAATTAATGAATATGAGCTTAGTGAGAATATAGACAACTATTATATATCAAATTCCAACATAGAGTGCATAGGACTACAAGCATTTGCACCAAATTGGTATAGAGATATTAAGTCTAAAAGGGATATAGAAAAAATTATTCAAAGATTAGAAGATATCCAAATTATAGGAGAAATTCATGTTACTATGCAGCATTCTATTATATATGTATTTTTTTGTCATTATAATTATATACATATATACATATTAATATATGCATCATATATGTATTACTTAAGTGACACATATAGTCGCGAATAAACAGTAAACTGAATATATATATATATATATATATATATATATATATCAATCTTGATATATATATGATGCATATATACATATAATGTATAGCAGTCCCAGTCTCACCCAATTCAACATATTTATCATTCAGCTGGGTATAATTCTTATGGGAAATATAGTATCTACATCAGAAAAGGAGACTTCAAATTTTTCATCATATGCTTTTTTCATTTCTTCAAATTTATCATTCATTTCTTTCTTTAATTCTTTAAGTATTTCTTCTTTCAATTCTTTTTTAATTTGGGGGATGCTTCTTCAAATTTTTCAATTATTTTCCAATCGATATATTCGCCATCCAAAGGATCTACTCCCTTAGTCAAGCATTCCTTATACGTAGGTTTTTCGGATGATCCTTCATTCTTAACATTTGAACAATTTTTTCTATATCCCTTTTAGACTTAATATCTCTATACCAATAGCATTAATTTTATAGGAATTTCTTATGTTAGCCGCGCATTCATAATGTCCTTTGAGGACATGTAAATGCAGTCCATTCTATAGATTCTTCTGCCATCTTTACTTGCCAGAATCCAGCTTTCAAGTCAAATTTTGAGAAATATTTACTACCTTGTATTCTATTAATCCATTCTTGCTTATTTGGGATATTATAGGCATCTTCTATAGTATTATCATTTAGTCTTTTATAATTTATGACCATCCTAGATTTACCTCTAACTTCTTCTGCATGATTTCTTACTATGAATGCTGCAGACCTGTGTGGACTTCTGCTCTCTCTTATGGCTCCTAGTTTCAACAGTTCTTCTATATGCATCTTAAATTCTTCTATGTCTTTCGGAGTTGCTTCTATTGGGCTAGTCACTCGGACTTTACATCATCCGAAGCAAGCTTCTGAGGCTGTCTAAATAGGA